GACTGGCTTGACCGGCGATGAGCTATCTCTCACCATGGCCCACTGCCGGGCTTTGATCCGCATCTGGGTGTAGCTTCGCTCTTCCGCGTACAGGGCGCCCATGAAGGAGCCGATGGACGTGCCGCCAATCATGTCAACGGGGATTCCAGCCTCGTTCAGCGCTCTGATCACCCCGACTTGGGAACATCCTCTGGAGAGGCAGGAGCGGCAGGGTTGGAAAGAAGAAAGGTGCTTTTTTTTTTAATTTAAAAAAAATGAAATTCCTTGCAGTGTACTTTTTAATAAGGGTTGCTAGCACGAGAAGCTGGAAAAGAAGCAGTCAAAAGAAGCTGGAAAACTTTCTAGGAAGGAAGGAAGGAGAGAGAGAGAGAGAGAAAGAGAGAGAGAGAGAGAGAGAGAAGGAAAGGATAAGAAAGAGGGAAAGAGGGAGGGAGGAAGAAGTAAGGGGAAAGAGGGAGAGAAAGAAAGGATTAAGAGAGAAAAAATATGGAAGAGAAATGTTCTGAGAGAGGAAGGAAGGAAGGAAGGAAGGAAGGAGAGAGAGAAAAGGAAAAGATAAGAAAGAGGGAGGGAGGAAGAAGTATGGGGAAAGAGGGAGAGAGAGAAAGGAAGGATTAAGAGAAAAAATATGGAACAGAAATGTTCTGAGAGAGGAAGGAAGGAAGGAAGGAAGGAAGGAAGGAAGGAAGGAAGGAAGGAAGGAAGGAAGGAAGGAAGGAAGGAAGGAAGGAAGGAAGCTAGCACGAGAAGCTGGAAAAGAAGGAGTCAAAAGAAGCTGGAAAATTTTCTAGGAAGGAAGCAGAGAGAGAGAGAGAAGGAAAGGATAAGAAAGAGGGAAAGAGGGAGGGAGGAAGAAGTAAGGGGAAAGAGGGAGAGAAAGAAAGGATTAAGAGAGAAAAAATATGGAAGAGAAATGTTCTGAGAGAGGAAGGAAGGAAGGAAGGAAGGAGAGAGAGAGAGAAAAGGAAAAGATAAGAAAGAGAAAGAGGAAGAAGGGGAAAGAGGGAGAGAGAGAAAGGAAGGATTAAGAGAGAAAAAATATGGAAGAGAAATGTTCTGAGAGGAAGGAAGGAAGGAAGGAAGGAGAGAGAGAGAAAGAGAAGGAAAAGAACACAATTTGCAAATACGTTTTGCAAAGGTGGCCCTATGGCCGAACTTCATCCAGACCTACAGACTGGCTTAACGGCGGCTGATAAAAATGGCTGCCAGCTCAGGCCCTGGACCGAACGGCCGGCCGTCACAACCGCCGATAATAAAAAACTAACTAAATAAATAGATAAATAAATAAAAACTTCGCACAAGCGAACGAGCAGCCGAAAGAAGGAAGGAAGGAAGGAAGGGCTGGCAGAAGAAAAGGCTCCGCTTGATCTCTTGACAAGAGTTTTGTGTTTCTGCTCCTCCGCTGGGATGGAGCGAAGGCAAGGGGAGGAAGGGAGCGAAAATCCGGGATGCTAACAAAAGGAAGAGAGAGAGAGAGAGAGAGAGAGAGAGAGAGAGAGAGAGAGAGAGAGAGAGAGAGAAAGAGAGGAACAGAAGCAGCTCTCTGGATGCTGGAACAACGTGTGGGCGACTTTACTTATGGCAGCTCTCCCAAAATACTAGAACAATCAAACGAGGGGACGGCAGCCAGGAACTAATTGCCCCTGCGAACGTACGGGAGACAAGAAAATTCCAAGGTTCGGCTTTGTGGTGCGCAGCAGGCATCAAGCCAGCCCACATCGCCCTAACCCGGCCGCCGGGGAGCACTCCCAACTGCTCCGACAGACAAAAGGTGACATTTTCAAGAGCCGGTTGCAAAGCCCAAACTCTTCAATTATCTCAAACCTGAATATAGTTTCACTGAGGAGGCAAGAAGGGAGGGAGGGGGCAGCTGCTTTTCCAAGGCTGCAGGGTTACTTGAACGGGGACAAGAAAGAGAAGGGAGGCAGGGATGGAAAAACACGGGGATCCGGAAGTCACCCTTGGTGGGGGATCTTGCGAGGCTGAAATAATCTGTATTTTGAGGCCGGAGTTCTGCTGTTTAGAACTGCCAGCTCGGTGTGTGCAGAGGGCTGAATTCTAACCCCGAGGAGAAATGGCAAAGGCATTGTAACTGGTGCACAGAACATGTGTATGCCAGCTGTTTTTAAGGGGGTTGTACAAGCCAGCTGTCAGGCCGTCTAACCCAACCACCACCACCACCCCGCTTGGTTCAGGAATCCAATTAAAGCACATCTGGCACAGGACCACAGTGCCTAACGGTGTGGGTCAAAGCTTTTGACCTCTCTGGAAGATTTTCCTAATAACCACTCTGCTTTCCAAATCCATATTTGGAGCTGGGGAGGGCGCAGATGAAAAGTGGAGGATGCTAACCATTTGAAAAAGTGCTGAGGGAGGAGGAGGAGAGGAGAAACAGAAGGAGAGGGAAAGATAGAAGGAGAAGAACAAGAAGAAGATAGTCAAGGAGAAGGAGAAGATAGAGAAGATAGAGAAGGAGAAGGAGGAGGAGGAGGAGGAGGACAAGAAGGAGAAAGAGAGGGAGAAGACAGACAAGAAGAACAAGAAAGAGAAGATAGTCAAGGAGAAGATAGAGAAGGAGAAGTAGGAGAAGGAGATGGAGGAGAAAGAGAGGGAGAAGACAGACAAGAAGAACAAGAAAGAGAAGATAGTCAAGGAGAAGATAGAGAAGGAGAAATAGGAGAAGGAGAAGGAGAAAGAGAGGGAGAAGACAGACAAGAAGAACAAGAAAGAGAATATAGTCAAGGAGAAGACAGAGAAGGAGAAGTAGGAGAAGGAGAAAGAGAAGGAGGAGAAAGAGATGGAGAAGACAGACAAGAAGAACAAGAAAGAGAAGATAGTCAAGGAGAAGCAGAAGATAGAGAAGATGGAGAAGGAGAAGAGAAGGGTTCTGCATTCCCAGGGAACGCCAGATTCAGAATACCCCTCATGTTTCAAAGCACTCTTACCGTGCGCCACCTCCTCCGAGGACCAAAGCCACGGCATTCCCCGTCAAGACGCGAGCTAGCCGGGAGAAGTCGGAGTGTCTGTCTGCAGGTTTCTGGAAGACGCGTTCATACATTTCTTTCTGCACGTGAGAGAGCAGAGGACAATACAAGCCTTTCAGCGTTGGCCAATACCATCCATCACGCCATAGGAAGGAAAGCAGAATATGGCCCATTAATAAGAATAAGGGTGGTGTGTGTGTGTGTGTGTTGTTTGTTTTTTGTTTGCAAAGTCAGGACATTCAGGTTTAATAAGTTCAAATTTTCCATGGATCTAGGCAGCCTTTTGGGAAGGAAGGAAGGAAGGAAGGAAGGAAGGAAGGAAGGAAGGAAGGGTAGAGAGGAAGGAAGGAAGGAGGGTGGGGTAGAGAGGAAGGAAGGAAGGAAGAAAAGGAAGGAAAGAAGGAAGGAAAGAAGGAAGGAAAGAAGGAAGGTGGGGTAGAGAAGAAGGAAGGAA